TGTGTGTGTGTGTGTGTGTGTGTGTGTGTGTGTGTGTGTGTGTGTGTGTGTGTGTGTGTGTGTGTACACGAATATCTGGACAATTTGTTCCTGTCCAATATTTTGGCTATTGAAATAAAAAATGAGTGTATCTCAGCACTTGGCATTTTTCACTCTTCTTACTATATTCATCTAGAATTTCAAGTTTTTTCTCGTTTACTTGATTAATTTTTTGTTGAGGATTTTCTCTCATATATTGATTCGGCTAATATTACAATTATCAATAGTATTTGTTTGATCAAGGAAGAGAATTAAATTTTTGCTTATTTTATATGAGGTTAAGTATCGCTTTAAATGAAAATACATTTACTTCCTACATTTATGATAAAGGCCTGTTGGAAGAATTTGGGGATTATGATAAAGTTTGCAAATTGGCAAAAATCTTCTTATCATAATTCTATTATCACTGTTATACATTTTGCAAATGGTATTCTAAGACGAAATTATTAAGGTTTGATATTAACTTTTATGCATAATTTTAATTTAGCATTCATTGAATACTTTGCATAATTTTTCAATTTGTAATTTGTTTTAGTACTGTCATCGAATTACCGAGCAATAAGCTAATTTGTTAAATGTCAAATAATTCTCCTTTGAGTACGGTATTTTAATTGTTATAAAAAAATTTACCACAATTTTTACTGCACTAAAGTTTCTTATCTCTATATATTTCCATTTCATTCTTTTGCTCTTTTTCGATAACTTAGTTAATTCTTTTTTTTTTCAATGACTCTTTTCATTGTAATCAATATTTTTTTCATCCGGATGACTTGATCAATCAAAATCAGCCATTAACGCTCGTAAATTAATGAATAGAGCTAAAATCCTAGCAGGAAATTTAACTGCTTCAAATCACAGATTATAGCATAAATAATGGAAGGATACTTCTGTCGTATCATCTGATTGATTATGGTAGCGATTTGTATTGAGGAAAGCACACTAATAATAATATGAACACTAATTACTTTAGATGCCGTACTGTATCATTGAAAATTTTACCAAAACAAACAAGAAATTTCAAATTTGCTGAAGTAAATGAGTGAAAGATTGAAATGGAAAGGTATGACAACCTGTATAAATAATTATATCAATTCGTAAAACTATAGCCACTGATAACAATTAATAGATAAGAAGATATATGTTGTTTATTTGATTGTTGAAGAGAATAAAACTGGATATTGGTTGTTATACCTTTCTGTTTTTAATCTTTCATTCATTTACTTCCATTTACATTAGTAATATAGTTACCGTAATTTATGAGAATTAATTTCTGTGAGCTAATATTTCATCTTCAAAATTGAATTAAGCAGTTGCTGTAGTATTTATATCAGTCTTTTTTTTTGCGACGTGATATTGCAGGTCAATCTTTAATTATGAAATTAAAATGCATATGCCAAATAGTGATAAGAAATGATTGATATTTTGATATTTTCTAGAAGGAACAGTTGACATGCTCATTTTGAATACATTTTCATTTTTTTCTAAGCAAATGTTTAAAATTCTTTCAGATCTTGTAATAAGTTTAATATAATGGATGAATGAGAAATATTGTTTAAATATTCGACAGAAGGGAAGAAATTAACTGAGAAGGTTACCCCCTTAAAATTTGTTAAGCGATAGATTTAAATTCATTAAACTATTGCAATAAAAGAAACCTCAATTAGCACTTATATTTAAATTTGAATTTAAAATATGAGAATCTGTCATTCATAATTGCTACGACTTATTCAAATTTAATAGAATGAAAAGAACACATGTATGCCTAAGCCGATTATGATGACATTTTATATGAGATGACATTATTTAATACACTGAAGCTAAGCAAAGGTCATCTTACTAATCCGTTGACGTTCACATCCTTCTGTGAAAATGATTACATGAATCATTCGGTATTTTTCCTTATACCACATATTTAGGCCTTTCCCGAATAAGCGAACTATTGTAATTAATTTTTTAAAAAATATCATATAGTTAAATGAAAAATAAATTAGTATATTAATATTAGTAAGGATATTTACATTATTCATCGAGAATGAAAAAAAAAGTGGCCAATGACAGTTCATTTACATGCTAAGGTTAGAGGTCATGCACTTTATAATTGCACTGTTGTAATTTTCGCACCTACAAATAATTCCAATCTTGAAATTTCAAGTGAGATATTTTTGCAATTTTGAATTCTTATAAGCCTTTTTTTAATCAAATCGTAGTTCAACCACTAATATTTCGAAGTTATTAGCATTCATTTAAATTCAATCATGAGAACATTCTCGAGTCATTCCTAGTAAGATCAAAATTATTCAACCTTTTATTCTATTGCATAACCTTTTATTTTTATATGCAAATTTTTATCTAAATTTCGAAATAGGCTGAACAAAAAAGTTTTTTTAAATTAAATCGTCCCTAAAATTTGCCTTTCATTTTGATAAGCGCATGTTGTGACTTCTTTATTTCTCAATATATTGCAACTTCCTCAATCATATATTATTGTTTCATTTTATTAAAAAAAGAAAAAAATTGTAAGTTTTCCAACTTTCGAAAAAAAGACAGAAAAATAATTGTACTTTTTTCCTAAAAGTATACAATTGTTGTGAAGTAAATTGTACAAACGCATTTTTTTTTGTTTTCACATGTCATATATTTTATACATTTCTGATATTTTATTTCCATTCAACATTTCCAGTAAGTTTAAATCGTCATATCTCATTAAGCTTTTCGTCGAAAAGATTCTTTTAATGCTAATATGCTATACATATGCTGGAACTTTCTTCAACATTTTAATTTCATATTTTAAAATTTCACATCTATTGATTTCTTTATTGCTTTCATTATCAATTCATTTCAACTTTCAATGTCAATTTAATTTGTTACAGAACTGCGAGCGGTAATTTCATATTACGAGCCATTTCATACCGTATCCCATCATCCCCGAGAATTGCATCTTTCCCATTACGATCGGCTTATATTTATATATGTGCGTGTGTGCGTGTGTGTGTGTGTGTATGTGTGTGTGTGTGTGTATGTGTGTGTGTGTGTGTGTGTGTGTGTATGGATGTATGTATGTTAGATTGTGCACATTTCCTGCCGGAGACGGTATTTTATGTTTTTTTTTTTTTGATTGTTATAAAATTGTCATTCAATTGGCAATTATGCATCCGATAAAGAGAAAAAGAGAGAAATCTTTTTGGATGAGCTTTTGATATGCCGTAAAATTCGCATTTATGATGAGCGGTGTTGAACAAAATGAGTGGTTGTTGATCGGACTGATTGGTTCATTCCATTCATTTTCATTCTCATTTGGATGAATTTTCGAGGCGGAATGATCGTTCGGATAATTTTCCTTTATTCGTGCATGTTTTTTTTTTTTTTAATCCATTCGTTTTGTCGACATAAATCGATAATGTCATAAATTTGTACGGTAGCTTGTCGTATTGATTGACCTTTATGATGTTTAATGCTTTCATTTTTTTTTTTTTTGAATAACTTTTGTTTGTTCGTTTTTTTTTTAAATTATCAATTGTTATAATCATGATAACATTTCAAATCCATCATTTGAATTAGTTTTTTTTTTTCTAATCTTACAAAATCATTACTTAATGTGATAGTAAATACATGAATCTTATTTGTAATACTTTTAATTCAATATTATACTATATATTTAAAACATTCAACATTTTTTTAAATCAACAATAAAAGTTTCGTTTCAGGATGTACTTATTAATTCCCAAAAAAATTGAAGAAGAATTAAATCATTATTTGGCTGTTTACTTAGTGACAGAAGAATAAAATCCATAATTTTATCTATCCCAAATCACTCTATCATCTTCATCATCATTGCTATTTCCAGCTATATTATCGAAATTTCACACTCCCAAAATCATTCTCCAGCTGCTTGCTTCTCCCTTGATCTATTTACCAAGTGTACAGTCAAGTGCTATATTGCTGCTGGGTGCTTCATCTGGCTTTGACTTTTATTTCAGATGGCAGCCGACGTTTGCGCTGAGCAGGTACAATTGCTTTTTGCTTCTATTTTTTTTTTTTGGAACGAATTTCGCAATAATTGTGGAATTTATTCTTCTTTAAATTTCAAAGTTTCGTTGTGGTTTCATCAAATTTAATTTTGCATCCAATTAATAATATTATCAATTTTTTTGTTTGATTTTTTTGCCCTAAATACTTTTGATTTGTTAATGTTATTGTTTAATTATACATTAACATATTTATCTTATTTATTCTTTCTAAACTTTCTTCAATCCAATTTTATAAGCTATAATTTTTCCTTTCAATCAATCTTGAATAAAATCTTCCTTTTAACTCTCTCAAATATCATTCCTCTTTTTTATAATCTATCTTTGGCTTTCAAAATTTCAACTATATGAAGATTTATTTGTAAATTGACAGTTGAAAATTGCAATTACTCGAATTATATTGAGAACTATTTTATCTTTATAATTTTAAATTTATTTTTCTTCATTACATTATATTTTACAAATAAGAACCGTTTCTTTTTTTTTGTTTCTTAAAAGATTAAATCAAATTTTAAAGAGATTAATTGAGTATAGTTTTTTTACTTAAATATCAAGAAATCATCTGACTAAAAAATTACTCTTGCTAAAATCATTGCAAAATTCGAAAAAAGAAAAATTTAATAAGTAAGAAATTTTAGTAAAGTTAACATGACTGTGTAAAAGTTTGAGGTATGACATATTAGAATGGCAACAGTAAATTCGGAGACATATTTTATACATCTCATTGACATTAAAGGTAAAAGGCATAGGCGAAACTGGAATGTACTTCTATCTTCTTCTATTCAAGAAATAAATATTTATAAAATTGCTGAGGGAAAAATTAAACTCAAGAAATTGCAAAGTTTTTTTTTTTATCAGCTGCCGTCAACATCATATGCGACCACAGCGGCAATTTCATCAGCCTCAACGACATCAATTATGCACGCTTCACAAGCAATGGTTAAAGTAGCAACCTCGACTACTTTTCTTCTGGGATCATGTTACATGAGCCAAAGTGCATCTTTAACTGCATTTAACAATCATCAGGTATGTACAGGTAGGATATCTTGCGTAAACAAACAAATGTATTCCACAGGAAACCACTGATGATGAATCTTTTTTTAATAAACATATTACTAAATTTGTTCTTTTTTTTTCCTAGCTAAGAAAATTCTGAAGATACTGCTGCCATGAATAAATCAGCTGCTAATTGATTGCTACAAAATTTCCAACATTTTTGATGAGGTTAATGTAAACTCAACATCTACAGAAAAATTCAATAAGGCAAATTAAAAAAAAAAAAGACAATTTATAAATTCAATCGTAAATTCATAAATATCTCTCTTTTAAACAGGATGATGAGGGAGCTGGTACAGCATTTGCGATATCATCGTTACCTCCTGAAATACATTTGCATATTTTGAAACATTTACCACGATACGATATCGATAACTGCCGATTTGTCTGCAAAAGATGGAAGGAAATGATCGATCGTAACAGCCATTCGCTTAGGAAACATCTCGTACAGATGCTTGAACTCCGAGAATATAAATCTCGATTCATCCTCACTTTAAAGTATATTTCATGTTATATAAAGCCTTAATTAAATTGTGGAGTTCAAAATTTCCATTGTAAAAAAAGGCATGATTAATTTAATGAGTTGTGGACAATAATGTTCTGTGCAGTCTTTGCTTCTCAGATTAGTCTCTGATAGGGAGGTAAAGAAGGTGAATTAAGTTATTCTGCGACTTAGGTATTAGTTCTAAACAAATCAAACACATACAACAAATGTGGAACTTTATGGATTGAATAGAAGGCTTTTTATAATTATTCATCACTTGTATGTTTGTGTTAAAAGATAATAATTGCAAAACTCTTGCTTATTCCAAAAAACACTACCATTTGTTGGCCGGTTGAAGTATGATGGTCAGAAGAATCTTACTAGCTAGCTTAAATCTTTTTTGAATCTAGTTTGAATCTTCAGATTGTTTTATATGAGCCTTTTTTAGGATAATAATTCACATTAGCTATTGCGATAATTAAGATGTGAAAATTTAACAATGTGATTAGATTAATTATTTAGCTCACTACCAATTCTTTTGTTTCTCGTAATTTAGCAAAGATATTCCTTCAAGAAGACTAATTTAAAATTTTTGTAAATAATGTCAATTTAATTTCCATTGTTCGTTGATTTGTGGGATAAATTGCTAATAGTTAGCTTAGGTGACATTTTTGATAATTAATCTTTCAGCAAATTGTGCACAAATGTTAAACAAGTGTAGAATTATTGAGATATAGAAATCAAGGAGTGTTGAGCAGATCTGATTTATAGCCTTTCGAAGCAACTGCGCCAATTTTAACTATGTGAATAGTAAGATGAGGGTGGAGCGGTGGTTGGAAGTACAAGGTAATGTAAACGATAGCATATAAGCTATCTATCTACTCTTACAGTATTCTTAAACAGCTGTTTAGTATACATATAGATCATTGATGAAGTTAATATAGGCACAATGTTTTCAATTTTTTAATCAAAAGTAATTTTTACCGCAATTGATGAAATTTTCTGCTATGAGAGATGATGCTTTGCTACACTATAACATGAATAATCTAACTTAAAATTTGCAAGCAGATCAAACTTTGAATAGAAATAATCAAAAAATGAAGTACTGCATATAGAAAGGACAGGTTAAATTTAATCGAGAATTATAGTTTGGTATGCGGAGATGATTAGAGATGATCTAAAATTTTATATTATCGATTAGCTTAAAATAACTAACAATTTACTGATTATACTACAGCATATTCAAGATTATATGCTCAATTTTATTAATATTTTTCCTGCACACACTAAATTTAAGCAAATAAAGCAAAATATGAATCTTTATTTTGTTAATGCAATTTCTTGATACCAAAATTTAAAATTATTATACCAAAATTTAAAACTTCGAAAATTTTTTTCAGTTGTTCAAATCTTTTGAAAAGTTGGACATTTTGTGAACATATTACAAGTCGTCCATCATCTTTCGGCCTTGGAAAACGACGACGTACGAGAACTTTAACAACACTTAACAACAATGAAGGACAACAACAACAACAACAACAACAACAATGGTATGATATGGCTGAACAGCAGCAGCAACAACAACAACATCAACGATCTGCAGAAAAATTACCTCATCTGCTCATTTATGTGAGAGAGGCCTCTCCATCTACTTCTTACCTGCCTGTCTTACTGCCAAATATATCAAATGACAGTAATTGGCATACGGAGGTGAGCAATTTTAGCTTTCATTTCTCTTTTAATGATTCAACATTTTGCTCTCGAAAATCTTTAAGAGAAATGTTATAATCATGCGGCAATTCTTTTTCTGGTTTTTCTCTTCTTGATATTTTATGTTATAGTTTGCAAAATTGATTTGTAGTTAAGAAAGGAATAAATATAAGTAATAAGATTATTTACAGCTTCATGTCACGTATCACATATTTATTGATGATCTGTTCCAAAAAATCAGTTATCATTATGCATGAAATTTGTTAGGATTGAATTTCTGATTTAATTTTTTGATTTCTGAAATTTGTTGATTGAGATTTAATTGCATGAATCTATTAGCATTGTTTGAGCAATAGAATAACTTTTCACATTAATATATTACACATATAAAAAGTAGGAATAAAAAAACGCAGAAGATAATATGATAATATTAGCTAAAATACTTTATATAAAAAAATACTTTATGTCTAAAATACTTCATATCTATTAAGATGGAAGTTCAATTGCAAGGCGAACAAAAGAGAAGGCTTTTAAAATTACGTAATACAATAATTAACAGTTTTCTTTTCATGCATATTTTCACATTATTTTTTTGAAATATTCACTAATTATTAAATGTTTAATTGCAATAACATTCTTTTAAAGCATATTTTTAAGCATCGTATGAATTAAAATATTTTGTCTCTCAGTTGATAGCACCATAAAAATGAGATCAGTAAATTTTCGTGAAATAACATCTAACGTTTTTGTATCTTTTAAAGCTTATATGCTTTTTCTGTTCCCATACATAAAATATTACCATAGAGATGTCTTTGATTAAATTGAGAGAAATGAAATAGTTGCTAAACTTGAACTCATTCAAGTTTATAGGATCACGATGAGCGAAAGCGACGAGAACACACACCGTCACAATTGTTATGCGAACGAATAGCGAAATATTTCCGTGAAGCGGATATTCATTTTTTGAGATTGACTGAGATGCGATTTACGGATCGTTTCATAGATCGTCTTTCAAAAGCTTTCGGAACATGTAAAATACGATGTAAAAAAGTGGAAATAAGCATGTGCAAGTTAAATTATGTATCACCAAAAAAGTAATTCTTTCTTTCTTTTCTGTTAAAACATTTGAACTTCTAATGGAAATGAATATTTTGTATTAATTCATTATCATTTTAGATTTTAGCTAAAAGCGTTGTTTAAAAATAAATTCTTTTGTTGTTGAATACTTTATCAGAATTATGGGATGATAGTTAATGTAATTTGAATAAAGTAGCTTGAAAAATATGCCTGAATGTAAACTTTTATGTATTTTGTTTTGGATACAGAAATTTTCAAATTAATAAGTTATTCAGAATTATTACATTATTCAATTTATAATCAGATGCCAAAGAAGTATTGTGTTATATTATAAAGCAAGTTATAATAAGAAATTCGATCAATAAAGTACTAGATATGAAACCACTTAAATGATTTAATTAATTAGATTTCTAGCAGTAGCTGAATGAAATATTCAATTTCTGGTTTTGTTTTCAATTCTAATCTAATAAATTTTAGATTCCATCAATTTCTTCAATTGATTGAATGTCAGAAATTATCACTGATTTGGTTGCGCGGCAATCACGGCCACATAGACAATTCTCGACAGTTTCTTTCTGAATTTCTCGGTCTTAGCTGTTTGAGCATTTTTGCTCTTACACCTCAGACAGCCATTGGCGATGATCAATTTCTGGCTGATTTTCTGGAAGGCAAAGCTACGAAATGTTTGAAAGAAACTGTGCTCCGAATAGATAATAGTTCAATCACTACAAATGGATTTTGTCGAGCTATTGAAGTTAGTAATTTAGCAATTGTTGAAAATAATCGAAATTTAATTGCTTAAAATAAACCACATAATTTAGTACAAGCAAAGTAAATTGGTGTATTTTGTTGAAGTACATTATCTAGATTTGCTCTATTATTACTATTTTAATATTTGTCTGTATCTATTGCTTTATATCTGTATAGGCAATAAATTATAATTTTCTACATTTTAAATAAGTTTTATTAATTTCAAAATTCCCGATTTTTGAAATTCTTGTATTTATTGATTTTAGAGATGGAAACAAACCGATACACGTTGGATTTTGAATCTTTGTGTGGGTTCGGAACATATTGATATTGATGACATTTTGAAGCACTTATCGTTGAATCAAAGTAAGCCACGACAAGGTGCATTCCGGATAGCTCATCCACAACTGCCCGATGAAGCACTTTTACTATGGGATGATAAAGATGGTTTGCATATAGCCAGCAGTGGAAAACCGGTTTCCTGATTGAGAAATTTTATTGAATATATTCCATTTGAACAAATATTAAAATTTGAAGTTATATTTAAAAATAACTTAGGACTTTATCACTTTAAAAAAAGCAGCAAAATGAAATAAATAGATAAAAGTGAGTTTGGACATAGATTTTTTGTTTTTGCAATAAATTTGATGAAATATTTTTAGGTTTAGCATTTTTCCAAACTTAGATTTTCATGTTGCCTTTGTCTATCAAATGAATATAATTACTGCAATTTATTTTCAATTTATTATTGAAATTATTACAATTTAATTATAAGCAAAAATTAAGTAATAAAATTTTAAAATGTAATAAATCCTATCATGCCCTAATTTCCATTAATTTTCCGAATATCGATAATGAAAAGATGGAGATACCAAGCATTATTTTACATTCTAATTTATTGTTTATCGAGAAAGATTTAATGGAAGAACACAATTATTATAGAAGTGAGTGAAGAAATGATTGCTAATATAAGTAAAAATTAAATTTCGCGGTCATTTGTTTGTTTGGTCTTTCGTCAAAATTTTTTTGTTTGTTGTCACGGCTTGTTGATTTTGCAATGATCTTACGATCACTTGAACTAATATATATTTTCATATCATTGAAAAAATATGTAATGTTCTCATTATACGTCAAATAATACTTTTGACGTACATTTCTGAAAACCTAATGCAGCTGTTATTAGGTGATCATTTTTTTTCTTTCCTACTATTGTTATCATTACAATTATTAAGACGAAACATGGTGTTGATATAATCCAGTACTATATTTTGGATGTTTGTAGGAATTTATTGTTTAAATGCTAATTTAAAATTGAAAAGTTTGTAAAATATTGTTTAGTGAAGTAGTGGTAATAAGAAAGATTCGAATGCTTCTTTTTTTTTGAATTTTCATTACAAATTGGAATCAAAGACTCTCATGTCCTTATTCTTTTAGTTGTACTGTCGTCAACACCTTGATTCATTCATTCATGTTACATTTATTTTATTGTGAAATAATTTTAATTTTGGAAAAATATCATTAAAATGATTTAAACGACTAATTATATGGACATAAGATACGAAATAACCAATTTGAGTATCGTTTTTAAGTTATGGAATGCTTAATTTTACTTGAATTTAATTCCGGTTTTCTTTTGATTAAGATTCCAACCATAAAACTATAAAAATTTAAAAATACTTTTATTATGGCAATTTTAAATGGTCGGCAATTTAAATAAGTAGTTGAATGTTGTATCTCTCTTTCAAATATCGCACTTCAGATCAAATATCACACTTCAGAATGATGCGTATAACACCAAAATTTAATTTGAGTTTGACAATTCGAATTGTTTTTTTTTTCTTATATTAGTTTAATCATTGAATAGATAAATACTAAAATTTATTAAAATCGATAAAATAAGTAGTTTTAATTACATTGATCAAGAAATATCGGAATTCTAATTTACTGCACATCCCTTTAATCATTCACTATATTTTATTTTGCAAAATTTTTTTTTTTTTGTTGTTGTAAACTATGGGTAATAGCGCAATCCTAATTTGACAGATACTGCAGGATATAAACGATAATGAAAAATCGCTTTCGTGAACACTTGTAAAATAAATTGGCCAGTCATACACCGTCTAAAATATCAATATCGATCTGTACAATCTGATAAATTAAAGTGAAAAATTGGCCATATTTTCAAATTAGGAACATTTGTCTTGAATGGAAAACCACAGCATTAATTGTAGTTTTCCACAGAGAGTTTTATTACAATGTTGGTGAAAGATAAGAATTTCTTGAAATTCATAAAAAAAAAATTACCAGCCAAAAAAGCTTCAGTAATGTTTTAGCTAATGTTATTAAACAAATTATAATTATGTGTGACATAATAAATTGTTCTAAAATATGATACCAATTACAACCATTTTAATTACAACCGTTTTAATTCATCTCATTATAATGTTCAATTTAACTCAATCAAAGCTTATATTATTTTCAGTTCAACTTTTTCACTTTTCATTTTGTGCTTTAAAAAATACTGAATTTCCATTGCAAATACAATTTTTTGTTATTAGTTTCATTTATCTAAATAAGTTAAATTGCGGAGAGTATGGGGACACTTTGTTAACAACGTCATTTGATGCTTTTATCCTCATAAAGTAAGCTGTTGTTAATACAATTTTAAAATGAATGTGCCGAAGATTATCAACAAAAAGGGTGACATTTATGGTACAATCTATTCTTCCTATATTTATTTTCCTCTTTTTACTTCTCTCTCTCTCTTTCAAATGAATAAATGCTTCTCTTCATTAGTCAATAAATTGATCATTTCTCATTTATTTCAATTAATATATTAGTAATGTTTCAAGATTTATCAGTTTATTCATTTACATTAATTGATATATTATTATGCTGTCCTGTAAACAAATATTTTTTTTTTAAAAAGTGAAACTATTTGTGATAAAAAGAAATAAATTTCTTTTAGTGCGGTAATTGAATAGTTTATTAGCCTTTTTTTAAATATTAAAAATATTCCCACAATATTACAACAGATAAAATTTCCCATGCTATTGATTGATCAGAGTAATTTTAACAATTTATAAGCAAACATTCCGTTTCTTGCCAAAACGAATAAAATTATTGCATATGGCATCATTCCATTTAAAGAGATATTGCAGCTAATTAAAATAGGAAAGGCATTTTTTTAAACTTAAATATAAAACTGAATGAGAATTAAATTTTTTTTTTGAATGGGAATTAAAATTTAGTTATTTATAGATGTTAACTGAGATGTGCTTCATACTATCATATAACTATGATCATACTTCTTTTCGATATCGAGAAAATAAATACCATGGTTGTCATGGTTACTTTGCTTAAATTATATTACTTTTGAAAGAACCAGGAAAGGATTTATCAGTACAATATTACTCATTAGAAATTAAATAAGTTAAAATACTAATCGTTGGTGAAAATGCCGATAATTACTTAAATTTCAACTCTCAATAAATTTATTTTAATACATGAATGTGTGTTGAATTTTATTTCAAGAAATTGTGTGCAAAAAAATCTGTCACAATGAAAAAAAAAAGAAAAAAAAACTAGCGTGGTTTTTAGAAACATCAATAAAAAGCTAAATATTCAACTAATAACGATAATGAGAAATGAATTTTCTTGTCAACCAAATATCACCAAATCTTTTAGTTAAATCATTTTCGCAACTTATCAGTGTTTCTTAGTTTATTTGTTGAATCTATTAGCATCATTGTGCATTGCTAAATAATAGCTATATAAAAATATAAAGATAAGAAATTGGCCAGGAAATAATTATTAAGTGTATCATCAAAAATTCGTGGATAATTGTGCTTACACCTTATGCTCATGGACTAATTTTTTCATCCAGCCTTATCATTGTAATATCATTTATTAATACGAACGCGATCATAAATCAAAACAATTAATAAATACTTAATAAAAATTAATGAAAAGCCTGCGATTACCGTATAAAAATTATTCAATTGAAGAACTTGCTCATTTTCTATCAAAAGAATTTTCCTTTTTTAGTGCTTTCATTATCATTTATTGAATGATTAGCGTCTTATTCGATATCAATTCATCTCGTAAATTTTTCACTTCTTAGCTGCGATAAATTCTAGTTGCACTTTTTTTTTTGTTGCAAACAAAAGACGGTGAGGAAAAAAGATTCTAATTTAATTGAGCGGAATACTTTTTAAAATAAAGTTGAATTAATTTTCCATTAATTTTACTAAGAAATGAGAAACATTATAAATGATATATACTTCAAGAAGATCAAACATCAAAACGATATATAAAACTATCAAAGCATAAATATAACTCTTCAACCATATTTCCATGCAATCAAATCAATCTAAATCTTTTCCTCAATATTAAACTTCTCTAAAATTCTACTGCTAAAGAAAAACCTACGCTAACTTTTCTAATCTCATTGATAATTGTTAGCCCATGTATAACTTTTCTTCCGTCGCGAATTTCATGCCTGTTAGCTATGTACAAAAAAAAAAAACAAAAAAAAACAAAAAATTATTATAGAAAAGCGTAGAAAGATGAGACCAATGAAAGTCATTACTCTCGCTTCGATCATCATCATCATATCCGCGCTAATTCTGGTATGTCCGTACTTTTCATCTGAACTGTCCTGTACAGCTGCTATTTTTTGTATGAAATGAAGTCAAACCTTAAAGCTTCTTCTCTAAACAACGTTTATCTTTTGTTAGCTGTTAAGACATTTTCGCTTAATGCTATACTAATTAATTCTAATTTAATAAATTTTGTAATCATCTGGAAAAATTATTCGGGAATTATTTACCTTCACATTAATCCCCATATTTTTACGCTTCGATACTAATGCACAAATTCTCAAATAATAATATGTGACTATCTTAAAATTTCCACCTCTTTATAACAGTCACAATTTGTTAGTCGTGACCTTTTAACTCTTCTATCTTTCCACTCACTGCAGTATTATCTTTTCAATTTCCATCAATCCTTTACTTCTCTTCAACATAGTCGTATTATTTTCCTCTTCATCACTGCTCTAATTTTATGCCACAATAAGAATAAACATGTTATCTTGTCAACCTTGTCAAAGCCTGCCCTCTCTCAACCGTAACTTCTTATTACAGATGCTTTTCAGCTTCTCATACACTCTAATTTAAACAATCTCTAATTCTCTTCAAATACCTGCTCTCTGTTTCTCGAAATCTCGAAAAGATCACGAGATGATCATGGTCGCGAGCCTGATTTTCCCCATGGTTTTTAAATTTAAACATGAGAATTTTGCTGACGGTCGGGTAGCGCAATCATTCCGGTTTTATTTCCGGAGGAATATTATACGGTAAGGAAAGGATGTTCCGAAAGTCATCCGGAAACCTTAGAAGAAAGGCAAGTTTTCATTCTGTTATTTCTGGAACAGTTCTTTTGACTTTTTTTTCAAGTTTCTTGTTTTATATAATTTGAATGTCTGCTTTCAGATATTTTTCTTTTTGACACCGAAAAAATCCTGCTTATCACCAAGTTCCACAATAACATCATCCGAACTTCTCTATACCAACAATTCATGCCTGCAAAATTGCGAGTTAGTTTCTTTTTTCTGATTATTCTTATGCTTGACTGATTGCCATAGGAAACGACGAATGCTATCTGATAAGGTATAATGTTATCTGATAAAGTATTCGATCGATAAGGCTGAATAACACACTTGCAGTTGTAATTTAATAACTAAAAAACTAAAAAAAACTTAATTGCTGAAAAAGTAAAAAATTTAACTAAAAAACTTAATTGCTTCAGATGATGTTATTAGTGGTAGTTTGGTCATGTATCTGCAGGTTTTGATATTAAATATAGCTAAAACATATGCTACTTTAAATGATCATAAAACTTTTAGAAATGTGAAATTTACTTCTAGTTTCTTCATAAAGATATAATTTCAGATTTCATTTTGTGGAATCAATACCCGAAAATATGACTTATCCTGCACAGTCAAATTTTCCTTCAACAACTGAAATATGGAAACGATTAATCAGTTCTGCTGAAAAATCAATTGATATTGCATCGTTTTACTGGAGTTTACTTCCAGAAAATGCTGGCACTTATAGAGGTCCATCAACCCAAGACGTTTGTTTTCATGCCTATTAGACATTACTGAGGCATAGAAGTGCTCATTTCAGATATTGTGCGTGTCAATCCAGTCATAGGCAATTTTAATTAAAATTTGTTTTAATGTTTAATTTTCTCAACAGTTCTAAAATAATTATAAATCAGATCTGAAGTACTGCACTCTATTTTTATGCTTTAAATTCCGTCAGACTAGTATTTTTTGGTGACATACATTTATTTTTTCACATTAAGGGTACTGATATATATAATTTATTGATTGGAGCAGCAAAAAAAGGCATCAAATTGAGGATTGTTCAAAATGCACAAAACAACAACGAAACCAGAATGCTGGAAAATGAAGGACTAGCTGAAGTGCGCAGTTTAAATTTTTCGAATTGGTTTGCTAGTGGTAAGCTGATAAATTAAAATTCGCAGCATTTGTTTTTATCTAAGCTGTATTTGAATAAACATTAAGCTAGCTTGTTGCACAAATTATTGTTGCAAATATTGGATACATTAATAAATATTCACAAAATTATTGGATAGATTTATAAGCTTGCACTGAATTAGTATAATGCAAAATAACTGACACGGCATGTTCTTAATCGAAAATAACTCGTGTGGAAATGTGAATTTTCTGAGTAATTCTTTATTTTATTTAACTCATGATTTTGCAGGAGTATTACATACGAAATTTTGGGTGGTTGATGCGAAGCACTTTTATTTGGGATCAGCTAATCTTGATTGGAGGTCTCTAACACAGGTACTAAAATTCATTATATAATGACAAAGACACGTGACTGATCAAAAATGATTCTTTTTTTATCGAAATATTTTCCAAAAAAATAAAATGAAACAAGGTATCTGTTCAGATGAAATTAAAATTAAATAATTATTTTCTTGGTTCGTTTTCTATTGCACAAACAGTTTGGGCACGCGGTGATGGCATCAATTTAAAAAGTATGACGTGCAGGGTAGATTGGTTAGGTCCATGCTTTTTATGTTATTTTTATAGATTCTGACGAGTTTTATTAGTTTTTGATCTTAATATTTTAAGGTGAAAGAACTTGGTGTTGCTGTATTTAGTTGTGGATGTTTGGCGGAAGATTTAATGAAAGTAATGAATGTTTACTGGGAAATGGGTGCGCCAGGTAAGAAGTTGCCATCATCATGGCCGAATGAGTTGGCAACTGCCTATAACGCGAAGAATCCGTTAGTAGTTACACTTAACGGTGAACAGAATAGTGTTTATATTTCGGTAATTTTTTTCATGTTGCAGCTACCAATTATTTCAAATCAGGTAGCAAAGTAGCTGAGTGATTTATACGATTCTATAAATCTCTAAAGTAGCTCATAGCTGTATTTATTCGTCATTTTATCTCTGCATATTAATAGCATTATAATTATTTATTTTTAGCTCATTGTTTTTCTTAAGCCATTTTGCAGTCTGCACCTCCTACTTTCTGTCCCAGAGGTCGTATGGATGATCTCAACGCAATTTTACAAGTTATCAGTACTGCTCGAAAATTCATACATATATCCGTAATGGATTACTTTCCGGCTACTCTATATTTAACAAATAATAGGTATATAGTTCAAATTTCAACTTCTGTATCATAAAAGGCACATTTTTCGGTTCCTCAATTTTTTTTACAGATATTGGCCTGTTATCGATGATGCTTTGCGAAAGGCCGCGTACAATGGTATTAAGGTGAAACTTTTAATAAGCAAATGGAAAACTACACGACCGACATTATTTGCGTTTCTGAAGTCATTAGCGGTTATCACTTCAACTTTACCGTCCAAACGAAAGTACGACACAAAAAGTAAAATTTTTAGAAGCAGTTGTAGATTTCGAAATATACAACTTTTATGAAATCCCTCTGAAGCATTTACTGTTCATTTCTGAATAGTTTAAAACAAGGTGGCAATATATCCAAAAACTTACTAAGCCGATTATTTAAATATTGATAACCCTCCACAAAGAAATGGTTTTATGTCAGAAGTATTGCAAAAGTCTTCTAAAAATTTGAGCGCGATCAACTCAGAAGTGTGGTAAACTAAATAATCTTGCACTGAATTTTTGAGTCAGTGAATAAAAATTTAAAAATGTTGATCGATGTTATTCAGGTGAAATTTCTGGCGCAAGTTTTGAAGTTGATTTCTTTTTCTTCTTTATAGGAAAAAAGTTCATTTCCATACCAGACACAGTGGGTTCTATTGAAGTGCGCATATTCATAGTGCCAGCAGAAGGCAATCATAAAAATATCCCATATGCTCGTGTAAATCATGCGAAGTATATGGTTACGGATAACACTGCTTTAATTGGTATGGTATAATTTATTTAATTTTTAAAGTTTGAAAGATTTTTACAGATTTGTAGAAAGTGCTTTACAAGTTAGCTATTATATTACTATTCTTTTTTTGAGTTGCCGATTACCATTCGTTGTAGAATGGCAGAAACATTTCATTTCAGATTTTCTATGTTGCAGTTGACTGTTTAGGAAATTCAGAACAACTCGAAGTATTAACTTTGAATAAATAGAATTCATAAAAGTCAGTTTTTTATTAAGAATTTTGTAAAGATTGGTAGTTTGTATTTTGTTATTTGCTATCAATAATTATTATTTTAGGTACATCGAACTGGTCAGGTGATTACTTTATCAATACTGCAGGCGCTAGTATAGTGATACAAAAACATAATACGACAGTAAATTCAGAAATAGTTCATAATTTAAATCAAGAAATCTTTATGCGAGATTGGAATTCAACCTACGCATCACCTCTTTCAGACTTTGATGATAAAGGTCATCGAATCACAAATGATACTGTGGTTTCTGAGGATTAATTTATCAATGGATACAATGTTTTTTTGAGAAGTATCTTTTAAATCTGTTATTTATTAATTGTTTTTCGCTACTTTGCTAATATGCTTTTTATGAAATAAAAAAAAAAATCAAATATTAATCAGTGGAAAAACATTACCATATATAGTATCAACGTGAGTATATTTAAAAGAAATTTCGAAAGCGGTATTCTTTTCAGCAATTTGATTTGACAGATTATATTACGATGGTCATATTATTATCTGCAAATTCATGATGCTTTACATTGAAAAGTTAACACACTTTATAGCCATTAAAAAATGACAGTCATTACCTTTTTATGAAATGGACACGCGGTTAGCTATTCTAGTACTGTTGATATGTATGAGAACTTGTGTTGCCAACCTTCTGCTCACCTAACAAACTCTCTGACTATGAGACTGTAAGACTGGTAGAGACTTGTTCGATCGGTTGTAATAGTAGTTTGAGATTTTCGAGGAAAAAATTTTTCAGAGCAGTTTATGTGATTTCTTTAATTATATCCAGTTCCCTAATTCTAATAGTTGCACCTTACGTCTTGGAAAAGTATTGTGCGATTTCTCAAAAGAGAAAATTCAGAAGTTCGGATTCTTTAGTTCTTCCAGAAGATATATTTAACAGCACTTTTATTATTATTAAAGGTAAGTAAGCAATCATTCTAGGTTGTCATATAAGAACAGTGTTTTGAGGAATTTTTGCACTCTAAACTTTAAGAGTGATACATCAGGCTAAAAATTGAGGCACTGCTCATCTAGTTTATTTAATCCATTAGGACTGAGGAAAACTATGTAAAATAATGAGATGAATGCTTATCAAGAAAAACAAGCATGACTGCAAGAGAGCTTTTATACATTCTAAAAATGATGGAAATGCCAGCAGCTGAGTACGACATACTTCAAAAAAAAAACTTAAATTTCTAGAACCGATGTGGAACAATCAGTTTATTTATTGCACTTCTCCAAAAAATTTACATCTTTCAATATTTGCTACGTAATAATCATTTCAGAAGCTTTCATAAATACTTTTCAAAATTGAAACCGAAGTTTTTGTATGGTTCCACAGCAATTATCAAAAAAAATTGAATCTTAACAAATTTAATGGATGCTGTTTCCTCATACTTTTACTTCCTATTAAATAAAAGTGCAAAAGTGAAGTCAAATGACAATGATGTATAGAGGAAATTGTAAATGACAATATCGATCAAATTTTGTTATTTCGACTACTCTTTAAAATTATCAGCCTTTGATCACACCTATCAACAACTTAATAATGAAATGCTGTATCAGCGTATTACTGATATTGTCTGGTATTTTTGTGCTAACCTTCGCAAGTGTAATCCCATGGAATAACAATAGTATCTACGGATATTGCGTTAACGTAAGTGACAATAAAATTTCTATCGTCATCCGTGCTATTATTAATAAGCTTATTAATAAGTTTTAACTTGAAAATGTATTCACTGATCTCTATCAACTTTTACTATCAATCCAGCTTATCGTATTAAATCTAATAGTGGAATTGATAATGACTGAAGGAAAAGGTAGTAAGGGAACAGATTTGATCCACCTATTTAAATTGAAATTAAAATTTTATTTTTAGGTAACAAACCGTATTGCAAACTGAATCATCTCTATTCCATCAAACATTTGTTCCTGACCCGAATTTATTGTTTTTAGTTTGATCAAACAATTAGAACTCCTATGTCGAATGAATTATCAGCTCTTAATTTTCTATATTTCAGATATCAGTTAAAATGGAACCAATTCAGAAGGCCATCTTTGAAAGGACATTAAATTTGCCGGGTGGGGGAATGATTGGAGCTCCAGAAGTACTCCAATTTGGCCAGAATCTTATACATTTAATACGAGCAAAAAAGGCTATCGATATAGGTTTAAATACTTCAAGCTAGCAAGACACTCCTCAGCCTGAAAAATTCAAATCTCTGGAAGCACTTTGGAGATCATGTGATTTCTCAAATTCCAAAAACGTTTTCTATCAAAAAAGACTTTCACTGTTGCTTCAGACTTCTTTCTAAACTTGATTTTCCTATATCTTATTTTGTAAAACAGGTCATATATATCTTCTAGGCACTTATACTGGTTCATCAGCCGTAGCCTGGGCTTTGGCAATGCCCAGCGGTAGCGAAGTATTGACAATCGATGTATATCCAGGAAGTTATGATAGTATCAGTCGTAAGCTTATTGATGCTAGACCAGATATTTATCCAAAAATTAAGCGGCATGTGGGAACAGCAGCACAAAAATTAGGCAAGTACAGTTCTCAAGTACAGACGTGACCATTTTTAAACAAGATCCCAAAAATCTCTAACAAACAACCACAAAGTTAGTGCTCAAATGTTGTTGAAAAACTTCAGGTTTCTAAAAACATGATATAAATAGTTTAAAATAGTTTCTAATTCTCACTTTTCAGATGCAATGCTCGCTTCTGGAGAAGCTGGAAAATGGGACTTCGTATTTATTGATGCTGATAAAATTAATTATCCAATATATTATGAACAATCGATTAAGCTTTTACGACCTGGAGGAGTTATCATAATTGATAACGTGAGTTTTCGAAATTTTTAAGAATTTTACCATAATTCTTGGATTTCCACCCCAGACCCTGAACTTTGCAATCTAGAAGATGGCTTAGTTTTCCAGGCTTTGTGGGGTGGAAGCGTAGTTAACAGACCAAGAGATCGTAGCACGGCAGCTGTCGATGAAACAAATCAAAAAGCTTCAAAAGATTCTCGCGTATACAATTACTTGATGAACATTGCCGATGGGATACACGTGATCTTCAAGAAATACTAAACAAAATTTAGGATGAGCAGTGAAGCAATTAGCCACTGGGACTGATTCCAAAAAGTTTCAATTTTGTCTTATAAAGGATTCAAAAAAGAAATTTTGCTCAGAATTAGGAAGTAAAGAGGGTTAGAAATAATATTTCATAGATTAAAATTATACGAATCATCGCTAACATCGATAATAAAGTATCATCACATTAAAAAACCGCGAAACGACATTTTTTTATTACTGGACGACATTTCATTTTTTATTTTTATTACTAAGTTATTAACCTCAAAAGAACAATAACAGGTAAAATTAAAAGCGACAACAATAAGTAACAGTGTGGAAAGAATCTTTTATTAATCACAGTACCGCTTGTGAAGCAACAAAAACTTTCCATTTAATCAATATGCTGACTATCGGAAAAAAGTTCTCTGTAAGAGAGATTATTTGGCACCTATGGAGGAATAACAAAGAATAAATTGTGAATGGCGGGTACAATAAATTTGATTAAAATCGAAAACGATACACATGTTAGTTGATAGATCGATAAAGCAAGAAAACAAATTATTGCCTTTTAATTGATCGAAATAATTTAATTTCATTCTATAATTTTTGGAAATTTAGCCATAAGTAGTCCATTACTGTATAGAAGTTCTGCCAATCTAATGCTGTCGGCAACGGTATTACATTTCAAATCCGATACTAAACACCAGTGAGGATATGTATCCAGTAAATTTGCAAATCCTTCGGAAAGCTGAAATTTAAATTCAATTTAAATTCAGCGATTCAAGTTAAAATCTAATTTTATAACAGTAAAATTAAATCTTACTTTCACATCCAGATCAAACAAAACTTCTGGCCTTCCTTCATAAACTCTCGAATTCGCCATGCGGTGTACAATAAAGCAATGTTCTTCCGACTCATAAATAAGTCTAAAAAAAAGATTAACCAATTTCTACAGCGTGTTTTTCTCTTTAAAACCGAGTCGTTTAATGTCTGATACGACACTTTCCCAAATCTCAATGTAGAACAGGTTTGCTGAATTGTATTCATAGCGGTAATGCTCAGATATCATGCTAGAAGAGTTGTAAAAATCACCTTTGACCATGTCTTCTTAAAAGCTTGATTGGTGTATCCTTCGTAAAAATGTGTTCATTATCACTATACAGCGATGAACCAGCAACGCATAACGCTGTCATATCTTTCTCCTCTTTAAGAGAAAAGAAAACTAATAATTGAAAATTAAAGATAAACTTAAACATAAATTTTGCTTTTTTTAAGAAAATTTGAAAATGTTTTATTTCTAAGTATTATTCATATAAGCACGTTGCGAAGTGTACATTATTTTGCTTTAATAAAAAGCAAGAGGCATGAATGCGATTGTTTTCATTACAAAAACAAAAAAAAAAACTTTCTAAGTCCAAAATATCAAGTTAATGTAAGAAATAAAGTATTAGATTCCCACAATTCTGAATTTACCTTTGGTGAGCACAGGTGGCAGTGCTGTCTTCATAAATTCTCTGGCCATCATATCAATAGCCGGTTCATTTAACTCTTTAATATATTTGCAGAACTTTGAAAACATACCATCAAGAAAGCGATTTAACCTTAAAATATTCTATTTATTATTCACATGAAATACATTTTCTAAAATCCTAAAAGTTCGAAGGAAAGAAATTTGATTGTTAAAATATCACATATAATGATTTATCAAAATTCATCCAAAACTTATTCGTTTTTGCTATTCAAATTTTATCATCCTTTTTTATAACAAAAATTCATATTTTTGCGAATAAAACTTATGAAATGCATACTTTAGAGTACCAACTTTGAACAATGGATAGTCGCATTCCAGTACACCCGTCATATCTAAATAACCAACTGGTAAAGATTTACGAATCTTTGCGTGCTGCTCAGCAAAATTAGATAATGCAGCTGGAATGATATGCTCCAAAAGATCAACATAAGCGACATTGCGACAAACACTGACAGTGAGATGTAACGAATGAACACCTTTGTCCGCGGAACCCTATAAATTTAATAATCTATTAAATTACAATACAAATATACCACATCAATACAAACATTGAAAAAAAAAACCCTTCATAGTGCAATACTTCAACACAGTGCAATACTGCAGAAAACGACGAGAGAACATCTCGTCATAGGAAAAATCTACTAACTATACCAGAAAAACAATTTTTAATACAACAGCTAGCTTATTGTACGTTCCTTGAAGAAATATGCAAATAAGTTAGTAGCAAAAAAAAAATATTATTGGATTCAAAAAATAGACAAAATTACACATTAATAAAGATAATAAAAGGAAGCTTTTCTCAATAAGGAATTGTTCAAGATACCTAACCTGGTGAATAAAACCTCGGGGAATATACAGCATATCGCCTTGTTCTAACCAATCATTAAAAACAGGAGTGCGACGAGCAACATCATCATCCGTAAAATTACCTAAACGAGAATATCATTTGGATAATATCATTTTACAGATTTTCATTAGAAAAAAAAATTGATACAGACCACTGGGTAATCGAGGAAGTATTTCATTATCATCAATCGGTGCATAAACCATCCAATGTTTTCGTCCTTCCAGTTGAAGCAGGAAAGCATCGATATCATCCCAATGAGGAGCAAAACCGGCCGTATTTCTGGGGGTTATATAACTATAAGATAAAAATTAGAGATAGTAAAATAAAAAAAATTGGCTTTTTAAGGAAGAGAGCAATGGATCTAAAATATTTTAAAAACAGATACAAAACAAATTCCTTGCTACATCACATGTTTTAACCTTAATTCAATCATATTTACTATCTAATTCCAAAGCATTATCCTTGCAATGACAATCCTACTTCCTCAAAGAAAGATGAATGACAAAGACAAATCATTAATCCTCTACTATTTAGAAACATTCAAACAGAATATAAATCAGTTTAATTACCGTAAATGTAACTATATGAAAAGAACGTACGCATTCGCCCCTACAAAACAATGAAATACTTCTTGTAATAAATCGCAGTAATACCAAACACTGTCACAAAAGCTTTGGGGATTTGTAAACTGTATTGAACAACCAGCCTGAAACCCGAAAATCAAAAAATTATGTCATGGACTTCATACTTATTACTGTGAAATGCTTGGTTTCTTTTAAAAAACTAATATGCACAATAAGTATTAGAAAAATTCATGTTCTCTGGAAATTTTCGATTCCATACCTTAATGCTTTTTTGTATTTCTTGAGGATAGACCTTCCCAGAACCGTTTAAAGTCGACCTTTGTTGATTCTTGTATACAGCAACATTTACATTGGTACCATATTCGACATAATCCTAAATTGCCATTTTATTAAATTTAAAAATTTTTGGAATCAGAAGTGAGAAGTATTGGTGATTAAAATTTAACAACAAACCGTTCGTAGAATGTCGATAAATTTTGCTGTGCTAAATAAATTGCCATAGTAATTCGCGTTATTACGACAAACACAAAATACTTTTTTCTGGAATACCATTCTGAAATATTTTATACAAGATAAATTTAAATAAATTTAAATAAAAAAATTTTAAGCACAAGTAACAAACTTGAAAAACAGTTTTATATCATAGGAATCAATAAGCCATTGCAAAGCATTCAATCCATTTTGTACTGAATCACAATGAGCTGAGAATGGCTTCTGTTCAAAATCGATGCCATGAACATCTTTATCCTCTTTTGTTCCGTAATATTTTACAAATTTTCCGTGAACCGTATCATTTGTAATTTCCTCTTTTTCTGAAAGTAAGTATAGCGCTGTATTCTCACTTATTATTAATAGAATTTTGAATAAGTGTATACTGCTTACAAAAATTCATTTGAAAAAACAAAAAAAATGCACTTAATCTTACCAGTATCCAAAAACGAAGAACAAACTCTCATACTGTCATGCGTTTCAAATTCCTTATCATCTCTTTTCCTACTCTTGATGTTTTTATCTTCACCAGTTTCATCTATCTCCTCTCCTTCACTCACATAATCGACAGTCTGCAAAATTATTTCGTGAAGTGAAAGATTGCAAATTTTTTCTATTCAGAATGATTTCTACTATTACTGAGTAAAGTTTTCGGTACTGCAAGCAAAGTGCACCGTATATTTTCAAATGAGTTTCAGTGAACTTTATTTACTAGTTAAAATGAAATCGTACTAGTTTTCGCATCGTACTTTTTTAAAATAATGGTAAGAATTTAAGCTAAATCTTAAATAGTTTGAACCTCCTTTTGCATCTTCCATTTTCTTTTTTTTTCAAAATTTTTAGGAGCTTCGTCACATATGTTTTGTTCTAGTAAATCCGGAATTTCTTCCAAACCGTCACACTTTTTAAATAACGAGCTGAAAATACCACCGTTTGAATGTGCCTGCCTTCGCATTTTAACCGAACCATGTCCTCCCTTATCAACTGATTTACCTAGAAAACAATTTATCAACGAATGACTGTTTTATGATCAGACTGTCACAATAAAGACAATTTTCCAAGAATCTGGGTTATTGAAAAACAAAGGATAGTCACATTATTGTTTTTCATTTTAAACAACAAAAACTAGCAATGATGAAGCTTTCAGCAACACAAATAAGAAACTGTTCGTAAATATTAAAAAAATAATCTCAAAGTACCTAGTCTTTCAATATAGGGTTCACTAAGTAAGAGTATACATGGATAAGTCACGATCCAAGCTCGATATTCGAAAGCTTATGTCAACCATCAAGAAGTTAAGTCTGGTCAATCCGCCTGTTAAAGTAAAATGCAGTAGGTACAAAGTGCTCGATTTTTCAATTTGCATCAGGAAGGTTTCTCTATTTATTCCAATATGTTTTGATATGTCCACTACCATAAATCAACTGAGAATCCACGTACCATGTCATGATAAATTAATAAAAAATAAAGTGAATCTGTCTTACGTTTTTGCTTAGTTCCTTTTCGAATCTCCTTCCTTGTTAATTTTTCTTTTTTTTCAGTTTTATTCATTTTATCCATTTTCGCATCGTATTTACCGACAATTGCAGAGGAAAAATTGAAGGCCAATACATTTCTATCGCTCTTCACAAAACTTCTGTTACCATCCTAAACTCTTCTTTTTTAGTAAAATAATAAAAATGCTCTATTTGCACAGCACTTCAGTTTCCCAGAATCAGGCATAAGCATCACAAAAGATTAATAATGAAGACACGTCAAAATTTGCACATTATTTGTTTTTAACAAATTTGTTATTAAATTTATTAGTTTTTTTCATTACTAATTGTTATGGCAATTGAATTTTGGAAGCAAAATTGAATTTTGGAAGCAAAAATTAAAGAGCAATCTTTTCAGTTTTTAAATTTAGTTTAGAGGATTTATTATAAAGATTTCAATGTTCAACAAAGAAAGATGAAGAGGAAATTGGCACTGATTTCTAGCAGATTAAACACTCCTCATCCAGCATGTATTTCTTCTTTTCAAAGAAAGGAAATGATATCACTAAAGACAACATATCCCAAAAGTAAATGGAACCGGTACTAAAGCATTCACGAATATAGGAGATCAAAGGATAGCTATTTGAATCTAACATTTCTTTAACGGAGATATAAATTAGAAAACTGATTTCAGTTTAGTTTAGTTCTACTCATTTTGAAAAAAAAAATAAGAAAAAACAAGCCAGGATGATAAACTGCGCTACAAATTTATTCAATTAATTGAGGAATGGAAAATACCTAGTGATAAAAATATATAGCATTTGAAAATCACTTATCATATAATGACAAGCAGCGGCAATCGTTTCACTGCACATTATAAAATTTTATTTGAATTGCAAAGTCAAGTCTTCTTGGTTTACAGTTTTGAAAAGAGAAAATACTAGGTCAAAATAAAAAGTAACTGACCTCTGTTTTACCAGCTAAATTAGACATCACCTTTTCTTTATCCAAACTGAAATCAGTATCATCTCTTGCATTTTTTTTGCGCACCAAAGCTTCATCTAAAAATTTAAATATAACAATGAAATACTAGAAACCTATTTATGGGAAAAAACGATGACGCTTCCATCACTGTAAATCCCTGTAAAATCGAAACTTTTAGGAAATCAAAATTCGCCACTTTCTCCGGTAGAATTAGAAAATGAATTAAATGTCTGCATTAAACATTTGTAATATTACATCCTTTAAGAATACTAATATTACAAAGTGACAATCATTGCACTTGAAACCATTTTCTCAATAATCTATCGTTACGAAATATTTAAAATTTCTTTGCACAGAAAAACTAACAGATATTTGAATCATGAATAGTTGAAGTCTTACATGCAGAAAGTTCATTTGTGCTATCCATCGAATGATCATCATTAGATGCAGCAAATTCTCCAATATTTGATGAATTTAACACTGTAGCATAGTTTTGACGTTTTGGAAATGAACGTTTTTTCTTCTTCATACCTGAAATATCATATCTGAAACTTTCTTGTAATGCTTATCCTCTAACACTCATCTATTCCCATTCTTACGTACCCAACGCCTCCACTGTCATCTATCTTTCACGTACGTGTTCATTTGTTATCATTGGATCATTGTGAAAATAATCAGTCCAACTAGGAATTCTTTATTATTGCTATAACTACGAAAGGGCAATAATGATTGCATTTTTGACATTGCAAATTTCATCAATAGAATAATGTCATTTACTATCAAATGATGATAATACTGCTGGAATGAGTAGAACTTTGTGTTGTTAATAATTTATTATCGCTAATATCAGCACTTTTGATATTATCATTAATCCTTTATTTTAACAAATTAACTGAAATAAAACTGAAATAAATGTTTGGATGTTTGGATGTAATACTAATTTGATATATTACTCTCTAATTATATGCAATATCGTTCGTGTATTGAAGTAATATAAGGATAATATTGAGCTGAATAACAGAGCTGAGTAATAGTGTCTTAACATTTCTGATATTCTATCATTATCATTAAAAATAGTCTCGTTTATTCCAACTTACGCATTCATACCTTAAAAAAAAACTCAGTTGATTAATTATTTTTGTGATTTAATGAAATTAATTTCACGCATTCAGGTGAATGATATATGGGTCAATTCATTTTGTTTAAAACAATGCCAGTTTGTACCAGTTTCCATCGTTTTTTTTTTTTTGAATTTACAAAAGAAAATTATGCATAGAATATGCATAATAGTCAATTATTTTTCCATGTTGTCTCTGTCATCATTATTATCATCATTTTTTATTCGTTTCATGCAATGTAAATTTACGCAAGTACTTTCACGTCATACATCCGCTGCATTAGCAATATAAATATAATATTTTTTTCTATTTTTTGCAAAATAAAAATATATTTGAATTTCTCTATGAAATATTGCCTTTCATAGTTTGCGAGAAATGAATGGAATGGATAGATAGCAAGAAACAGACAGAAGCCATTTAAAATCAGATTTTATTTCCAGAAAAAATGCTATTGGATGAGAATGCTAAGTGATAGATTGTGGTACCGAGCGCAGTGTATTATTTTGCAAAGCTGATTGATGAGTTAATTGTATCGGCTGGGCCACACTGGGATGTTTTTTGTTTTTTGGCTATTGGGTATTCTGTAGTATTAGCTTTTGTTATCGTTTCAGATAGATTAGTTTTATTTGGGAGTTATTAACTGTTTTCGCACCAGAAAATTACTTGGAAATTGAAATCATTAATTCGATATAGTTCTCCGATATGAGAGAAATGTAACGTGTTATCAATTATCAAGAGAATAGTAACAATAGGCAGCCTGCTTCATGCTGATAAAGAAGAAGTTTATTTTTACTAATTAATCAATCAAATGTAAAGCCTTTCGGTTAATTTATGCGGAATAGCATCAAAATAGAAGTCCATTTTGAATATATACTACATTCATCTTTATTCATTGTCCAATTTTCATCTGAGAGTAAACAAATTAGCAAGAAAGTAAACAGGGAGTAAACAAGTTAGCAAAAAATTAAGAAAGGTAATTTTTAAAGCATCATAAAACATTAGCAATCAGAAAATCGAAGATTAATAACTATTAAATATGCTTTTGACGATAAGTCATAACAAAGTTGTGGCTAAATAGAATGTAACTGAATTGTTTCATAATAGCGATCAATTCTTCTTAGTCATTTCTCAAAGCACTTTGATCAGCAATCCAATTGCATCCATCAGCTTTCATTCCACAAGACAGACATTCCATATGATTCAGGTTACTATCCTCAGTAATGATTTGGCTTTGACTGTTTTGGCACATATCAAAATGGACAAGAGAAATTGAAGACAGCCTAGCAGCTGCTAGAGCGATACTTATTGTCTAATATTCCACCCTGCATTTAAATGTTGCCACTATCGTCATCTGTTCCCTTTTCATTTTGCTTTAGTTTTTAATATTCTCTTTTACATTTGATTGTATTGAACAAATAACATTTGTGTTGAAAAAAATCCTCACTAACAATTTTAACTTATTTTAAACGAAAGTTGATTGAAAAACTGAGGAAGAATGTTTTAGGAAGAAATGAAAGAATATTTTTCTATTTTAAACTACTTTTGAGCTTCCTCAGTTTTTCTGAAATGTTTATGGTTTTGTATTGCATTTGAATAGATTTCAATTAAGGAATTGATATGATAATGAAGTGCAAATAATTTTAATGATCATAGGCTTCTAAACAATTGATTGCAAATTTTGAATGCATTTACGTATCATTCCTAAAATCTATTCTGACATAAAATTCTTAGCAATGATGCAATGCATGCTAAGATTTTTCTATAAGGAAGACAGTGCTACTGTCGCTGATAATAACTACAAATTAAGGAAATAACGATCTGTAAATTTTAGTTTATTTTTAAAATCTTTCATTTATGAAATAATATCAATTCGCATTTGTAAAAATATGCGAATTAATAATCATGTTTTGAATAGATATTCGAGATGTTTCTTTGATTTTATATGTAATATTGTTAGATGGATCGATTTATTTCAGTTTAGGAAACTTTCCGAATTTGACCACACTTCTCATTTCCAACTTAACGATTAAATTATTTTGCTATTAAATATTCTAGGCATCTCATTATTGTTCCATCTAAAATAGTCGGATGTGGTCAAAATTATTGACTTGCTAACTAATGGTCGGATTAAATTTCTATGACAGCTGGGATTCATCTGACAGATGAAATTTATCATTCAGAAATACCACTAGAAATAATCAATTAATTTTTAAATAAACAAACGAATTTATCGTCATTGGATTAAATCTTTGAAATAATTTTACTAACGCAAGAAAATTTTCGCAAAAGTTGCAAAAAAAAATTGATAAAATTTAGCATTTTAATTATAAAAATTAGAATTTCTCAGAAAATTAGACAATTTTTAGGATTTAAAATTGTCTAGCATATATTTTGTGTTTCCCCTTTAAGCTATTTCTCACTTTTTTTCCTTTTCCTTTCAAGTCTCGTCAATTGAATAAATGTGAATGAGATATGCCTTTTCGAAAAAAATGAGATGTGCCTTTCCAAAAAAAAGTGCACACTGTCTAGTCAATTTGCTGTGCTGACATGTAAGTAACACTTATCATTACTTCCATTTCAACACATGCATTTCATTATGTCTCATTCAATACGAGAACAGTTGCTTAGAATGAAATGCAATCATCACATTTTGCACCACAAATAACAAAAAAAAAAAAAAAACATTACACTATCGAAAATGTCATCGTATTTCATTCTAAACTTCATTTTAAACTATAAATTTGAGATTGTTGTTTTAAAAAAATTAGAAAAATCACCCTTTGAGATAAAATTCTTGTGGAAAAAAATTTTTTTTGATTCGGGAGAGCAAATTGGTAGTCCATGATAATTATAATTACAAAGGTTTATTTCGAATAAACCTTTCTTTCTTTTTTTTTTTTTTTTTGGAAGATTGGAAATACTGACAATTAACAACGTTCAAAAATGAATACTTCGATTCCTGATTACTGATTGGTTGGAAGTTATTTTTTTCGAGCAATGAGTAACACACTTGGTTAGGGAGAATCCTACTTAATTTATCTCATATATATCTGCATGATCTTTTGTGACTTATCACACATATTTCTACGTGATATCTGAATGACTATCCTTGTACTGTCCAATGTTGGGTACAATTACGTTACAGATCAATATTGGATCATGCAGATACATATGGAATAAATCAATATTAGATCATGCATGATATACATGGGATAAATCAATATTAGATCATGCATGATATACATGGGATAAATCAATATTAGATCATGCAGACTTCCAAAACATAATCCCACAGTTAGGCAATGTGATGCGATGAAGAGAAAGAAAGAAACGATGGAAAGAAAAGAGGTTATTTGATTACTCGTTAGCTATACATAAAAAGAAAGACAGAGAACATGTAATGGCGACAAGAAGTATGAAAAACATTGAAGCAAGACAAAATGATGGATGTCATATGACAAGAAATTAAATTTAACATTGATGAAAGATTATGGAAGACAACTTCTTTAGCCTAATTGTCAGTAATACAAAATCTCGGGTTCATTCGAATAATTTTATATCACAAAATTTTAGCTTTGCCAACAAAGAGATACAAATGACAAGTATTAAAATAGAAATAGAATTGTTGTAATTTAGATTGTTAACAGTTCTTTCTGATGAGAAATTTCAAAAGCAGTTAATTAGAAAAGTGTAAATTTACACTGTATCTTCTTGATTATTGATTGTTCCAATTTCATTTTTTTTTTAGCAATATTTCACATTTAGAATGTTGCATTCTGATTTGCAAAAAAAAAAAACGCCTTATTGTGAATGAATAGCATCGAATGAAATAGCATTAATTGGTAGTAAAATTTTTTTCGCTACCACATTCTAGTGGATTTCTAGATTGGAAATCTAATTTAATTAACTTATAATCGATTTAGTCTATATACATGCTAATTTAGATCTCTTTTTATTATATCGAAACGAATTCATAAAAAATTTTGAAATCTTTGAAAAAAAAAACAAAAACATTTGAATCTTCTGAAAAATCACTTACCTAATTTACAAAATGAAGAAAAAAAAAACCTCACTAATATGGTAATTGCAATAGCCAGAAATTATTGATCCATTTATTTCCACCGAGAATTCTAGAATGAAGAAGATCACCGAATAATCTCTCTTCACTTTCTCTGATCTTAATTTCTTTAATAGTGCTCCGAAATCTTTAAAAATATAAATGACATTTCTGATTGTAGCTATGCTATTAAGATAAAAATTGATAAGATCAAATTTTAAATGAATGTATTTTCTTGTATATTTCAATTATCTCCAATAATTTGCATTTAGCATTTATCAGTATTGTAAAAGAAAGTTTTTGCTCAAATTAGTAACTTTTGCATTATTTTAAATTTCTAAAAAATGTTCCCAAAGATTGCACTTCAAATTGTCGATTTAATTTCACTGTACATTTCCAGTGCTATATGTCATTTTAAGCTTATTTTTCTTGCTATGTCTTAATTAC